GCCCTCTCGCTCGGACGGGTCCTGCGCTCCGAGCTCCGCGATGCACCCGGCGGCAGCACGATCAGATCGCGGCCAAACGCAGGGAAAAGGCCCTTTTGTCGCAGCAGGGGAAGGAAGGGGACAGGAGGACACGCGAGAGCGCGGTGTTGTTCAGCGCGGCTGCGATTAAAATAAAATAGGCTCAAAAGGGTGTTTTTGGACAGGGATGCTCACATTCCCGGCTTCCCTGGATGGGAATGCCTCACAAGCACAGGCCCACAGAGGTTGGCCAGAGCTCTCCTGTTTCTATTTTATTTCTTAGAATGCCTGAACTTACGCACGCACAAAATACAGGCTTTGTGATATTTAATTATGGATATTTTTACGAGCCGCCGACGCAGGCACAAGAGGCGCTTCCTGCAGATCACCCTGGCGCAGGGACCCGCACGGAGATGCGTGTGGCATGAGGAGAGGGCAGGATCACACGAGGGGCGACCACCGGTGTTGGCATCGCTCATGTTTTCAGCTTGCTTTCCATAAGAGAACACTTAAAATAGAGAGAAAAAAATAAAGAGCTATTTTGTCCAGTGTGAGCAGCGCTTTTTTTTTGTTATGCCCCTTTTTGTTTTAAAGCCCATCAAACTGTGCTAAATGTGCCGTATAAAACTGGTGTGCCCAATGCTGCTCTCCAGCAGCTCAGCTCGCGGGACCGGGCAAGAGGCACTTGTCCCTTGGAGGGCAGCTGTCGCAGGACAACCGGTAGCTGAATATCAAGGAATAAATAGTGCATTTTCCTTGGCAGCAGTGCTGAGTCCTCCCACTGTAAATACTGATCTTTGTCCAATTTTACAGCAATTTACAGCAATTTACCTTTAACTGTCTCTTTCTCACCACCTCAGGGCCCGGTTGCCCTGCTGTGAAACAGTAAAGGGGCACGGTGAGCACTAAGGGCACGGAGTCCGCACGCTCCCGCATCCGCATTGCTCCTGTGCCTTCAAGGTGGCCAAGGAACTTCCAGAAGATTTGGTGCTCGTGTTAACCTCACCCATCTCAGCTGCCTGGCCCTGGATTGCCCGGAGGACCCTGCAGTGTCCCCCGGAGCACGAGGGGCTGCCGCTCGCTCCGGGCAGAGCGGATGCGTCGCTCCTGGTGCTCCATAGGCCATGACGTCTGCGGGAATGAGGGTCCAGAGGGTTTCTATACGGACACTAGCAACAAGTCTTGCTAGGTCCCTTGCACAATATCTAGTTGTTTTGTTTTTGTTTTTTCTTGGTACGAGGCTCTTGGGATGCTGTGCAACCTCTGTGTCCCCTGGAAGGGGGAATTTAGGCTTCACTCGCTGTCCTTTTGGTGTCACCACAGCCCAAGTTCCCGGCTTCTTCTGTCAGATAACACACACCTAAATGAGATTGGCCTCCTCTTTCATTAGCCCGTTAACCCACCCCTCCTTCTCTAAACCTTAAACTTTTTAATACTGCGGCTGTGACGCGACGCGATGTCAACGGCCTCCTCTTGTGTGGCCAAAACTCACACAGGCAGAAGCGCCGGCAGCGCCGGCCATGCCGGGACGCAGCAGCCAGCGGCTGTCCTGGGAAACACGGAGCGGTGGAGCCGCCCCAGGAATGTCCCCAAGGCCCCGGGCACCTGCAGCAGCTCCTGGCACTTCCCTGCGGCCCGCACGGCCGCGCGCTGGGCACGGGAACCCGCCGGGCGCTCAGCGTCCGTCCAGTTCTTCAGGGCAATATTTCCATGGGGGGTGTGTGACGTGTGGCAAACTTTAGGATTTTTTTTTTAATGAAAATGTAAATAAATTATTCTGGAAACAAAAAAGAAAAGTCTCTGAAAGGTTAAATCCAGGCCAATGGGAAGCACATGTAAATGCCACGGCTGTCCCTGCTCGGGAATATCCATGTGTGCAGCTCCTGGCTCTGTTGGCTGCTGCAGGGATTGTGCTGGGGTGAGGACACAGCCCAGAAGAAAGCAAGGGGCCAGAATTAAAGCAGTATATATAGAAATAAGTGTCTTTTTGATACCCCCATCCTCCAGTTTTAAATGACCATAATTATTTTAAATTAATTAAAAGAAACACCATTGATGCAGCACGTACATGAGCTATCCTGGATTGTGCAGCTGCAGAGCAGGCTGGTGACCCACAGCAGGGCGAGGAGTTTCACGAAGGCACCCGGGACGCTGGGAAGCAGCGAGCGCGCGGCCGCCAGCCCATCCCGACCGCGGGGGAAAAGCAGGAATTGGCCTTTCCCCCCCCCCCTTCACCCGTCCCCCACGCGCGGCCGCCGTCTCCGCGGGACACGGGAGGGCTCCCGCGCGGCGCCGTCGGCTGGAAACGTGTGGAAGCTGCCGCTCTGCTCCTGGCCAGAGCACTGCCAGCTCAGTGCAGCTGATGTCACCACTGAACTCCCCGCCGCGCCGCGTGGCACCATCGGCCGGGCTGGGAAGCACCGGGGTTCGCACCAGCCGCTTGGGATCTGCCGGCGCTTCTGGGGAGATCTCCGGGAAGAAGGCGAGAAATGCCAGCGTTCAGGCACATCCCTCCTATTCCTGGGCAGCCAGGGAGCTTCCTGACGCTCTAATCCTTTCATAGGCCGCACTGTACTCAAAAGCCATTTAGTATTTTTTTTTTTTCTTCCCC